CGCTGATCAGGTGGTTGCTCACCACTGAGGACACTCGTGGTCGTCGTGTCAGCTGTCTTCACTCCGACCGTGGGGGTGAGTTTCGCTCCGACATTCTCGCTGGATTCTGTCGCGAGCAGGGCATTCGTCAGTCCTGGACGCTTCCAGAGTCCCCACAGCAGAATGGGGTTGCTGAGCGCCGCATAGGCCTGGTCATGGAGATCGCCCGCACCTCCCTGACTCACGCCTGTGCCCCCCATTTTCTGTGGCCCTACGCGGTCAGGTACGCCGCGCACCAGCTGAACCTCTGGCCACGTGTCTCTCGACCAGAGGTTTCACCGACCAGTCTTTGGACAGGGTCCCCTGGTGTTGCGTCGCGGTTTCGTGTCTGGGGGTGCTTGGCTCTTGTCCGCGACACCTCCGCGGACAAGCTCTCGCCTCGTGCCGTCCCCTGTGTCTTCCTTGGTTTCCCTGAGGACTCCTCTGACTTCACCTTTTACCACCCTCCCTCTCACCGGTTCTTTGACTCCCGTGACGTCCGTTTCGAGGAGTCCACTCCGTACTACGTCAGGTACCCCAGTCGAGGTCTCCCGGTTCCTCCTCCCCCCCTCTTCCTGACTGCCGTTCCCCCTCCTGCTCCCCCGGTACAGCCTCCCCCCCCTGGTCCAGCCCCGTCAGGTGTGTCCCAGGCTACCCCTCCTCCTTCGGTAGCCCCTCCGGTACAGCCTCCCTCCCCACAGTCCTCCTCGCAGCGTGCCGCTGGTGCTAGCTCTCGAGAGGTTGGTGCGGCGCCTGTTCCTGTACCGGTTTCTGGTTCTGGGGGTGCTGGAGTTGGAGCTGGAGTTGGAGCTGGAGTTGGCACTGGAGTTTCTGGTTCTGGGGGTGCTGGAGTTGGAGCTGGGGTTGGAGCTGGAGTTTCTGGTTCTGGAGTTGGAGCTGACCCGGTGGGTGCAGAGGACTCTTGTCGTCCGGGAGCTGGTGCTGGCCGCGCGGACACTGGGGGTGCTGCGTCTGGGGGTGAGGGTGCGCCTCCTTTGGGTTCAGGTGAGCCTAGTTCTGGAGCTGGTGTTAGTGCTGCCTCTGGGGGTGGTGCGCCTAGTTCTTCTGAGGTGGACTCTGGAGCTGCCGCTGCTTCGGACACTACTCCACCCCCCCACCCCTACCCGACTAGGCACCAGGCTCGTGTTCGTCGTGCCCGTGACGAGCAGCTGGCGTTGGAGAGAGAGGAGAGGGAGTTACAGCGGCTGGAGGAGCAGCAGCAGCAGCTGGAGCCGCAGGAGCAGCAGCAGCAGCAGCTGGACCCGCAGGAGCAGCAGTCCCAGCAGCAGCCGCGTCCGCAGCAGCAGCAGTCGCAGCCGCAGCAGCAGCAGCCACTTCCTCCTCCTGTCTCGGGTCTTCGGATCCTTGGTCTCCCCTCCCCTTCTCCTCCCTCCTCCGCCTCTCCTCCTGTCTACGGTCCCACGTTTCCTCCTCCTGACTCCTCCCCCGCTGTTTTCCCCAGTTCTCCGCCCTTGTCCTCTTCTCCTCCGTCTGGTTCTTGGGCTACTCGTCGCTCCCCTCGTGCTCGTCCCTCGTCTCCTGTTCCCTTCACTGACCTTCGTACTGCCTTTCTTCTTTCTAGTCCACCTCGTCCGTCTCAGTCTGTGCTTCCGTCTCCTCCTGAGTCGGCCCTCACTGTGTCGCTCCCTACTCCTGTCACTGACTACTACCGCACGTACCGTCCTGTTCTCTCTCGTGTTCTCGCCTCTCTTGTTACTCACCCTCGTGCCTCTGTGTCCTCTGTGTCCGCTCTTACTGCCGCAGTTACTGACTTTGCCTCCACCCGCCGCCTTGACTACGCCACCACGCTTGTGGCTGCTCCTCCTACCAGTCCTCTGGCCGTCGGGGGTGTGTCTGCCCTTGGCTGTGACGCCCTAGAGGACAGGCAGTTTGAGCTAGAGTTCCTGGCGGCCGCTTCCCCTCATCTCTGTGCCATGCTCCTCGCCCCTGAGGGTGACCCCGACGCCCTTGACATTCCGACTCCTCGCACTTACGCTGAGGCAGTGTCAGGGCCTTGGGCCTCTCAGTGGAGAGCTGCCATGGACGCAGAGATGGCCTTCTACAGATCCACAGGCACCTACGTCGATGAGGTTCCCCCCCCTGGGGCGAACGTAGTCGACGGCATGTGGATCTACAGGGTGAAGCGGCCACCGGGATCTCCCCCGGTCTTCAAGGCGCGCTACGTGGCTAGAGGTTTCAGTCAGCGTGAGGGAGTTGACTTCTTTCAGACCTTCGCACCTACCCCGAAGATGACCACTCTTCGGGTGTTACTACACGTAGCAGCACAGAGAGACTACGAGTTACACTCTCTCGACTTCTCCACTGCTTTCCTTCAGGGCAGCCTACACGAGGAGGTCTGGTTGCGTCGTCCCTCGGCCTTCACTGGCACCTTCCCTCCTGGGACCCAGTGGAGGCTGAGGCGACCTGTTTACGGTCTTCGCCAGGCCCCTCGTGAGTGGCACGACACTCTGCGTTCCACCCTCTCTGACCTTGGGTTCCAGCCGTCTTCTGCCGACCCGTCGTTGTTCGTTCGTCGTGGCTCCACACCGTTCTTTGTTCTGGTTTACGTCGACGACCTCGTTTTCGCCACTCCGGACAGGGTTGCTTTGGCAGACGTGAAGTCCGAACTGCAGAAGAGACACACGTGCACTGATCTTGGTGAGCTGCGCCACTACCTTGGCCTGCAGATCACCAGGGAAAGAGCCGCTCGCACCATTACACTCTCACAGTCACACATGGTGCAGCAGGTCCTTCAGCGGCTCGGGCTTCAGCACTCCACTGTACAGCGCACACCTCTAGCTGTTGACCACAGACTCACTGGTCCCTTTCCTGACGAGCCGTTTGAGCCTAGTGGTCCCTACGCAGAGCTTGTGGGTTGCCTCATGTACCTGATGACTTGTACTCGCCCGGACCTCGCCTTCCCTCTCAGCATCCTTGCGCGCTTTGTTGCGCCAGGGAGACACCGTCCTGTTCACTGGACGGCAGCTGTGAGGGTGGCGAAGTACCTAGCGACTACATCAGGCGTGGGGCTAGTTCTTGGACGGCAGCAGTCTGTCGTACTCACTGGTCACTGTGACTCCTCTTACGCTGACGACGCTGAGACTCACAGGTCTACTCAGGGGTACTGTTTCAGTCTGGGTTCTGGAGCTGTTTCCTGGCGTTCCACGCGCTCCTCTTCTGTCTCGACCTCTACAGCTGAGGCTGAGATTTACGCTGGTGCCATGGCGGCACAGGAGTTGCGGTGGTTGACCTTCTTGCTCGCCGACCTTGGTGAGCGGCCGAGCTCTGCACCGACCTTGTTTACTGACAACAAGGCGTCGATCCTCCTCTGTCGTGAGCCGCGACTGGAGAGCAGAGTGAAGCACATTCACGTCAGGTACTTTCTTCTGCGAGAGTTGCAGAGGCGTGGACAGGCTCGCTTCGAGTTTGTAGAGTCCGAGGCCAACACTGCAGACATCTTCACCAAGGCGCTTCCGCCTTGTGACCACCAGAGGTGTTGTGTGCAGTTAGGCCTTGTTGACACAGGTTCTAGTCATGCGTAGACTTGAGTTTATTGCCTGTTTCGTTTGTACTTTTACTATATATACTTGTGATCTCTTGGACTGGCCTTGTGGCCACTGTTGCTTGTGCTCAGAGTGTGTGGTGACGTTGTGATCCACCCTGAGCTTTGTTTTCTTTTGGACTGGTCTTGTGACCGTACTCTTTTTTGTTTTTTGCTAGACACCCCTCACTTAGGCTATGGGGGTGTGTCAAATGTTGTAGCCTGTAGTGAGGTTTGTCTTAGGGGGTACAGAAGTTAGGGTTTGTCATATGTACCCCAACCAACATCAATGGAACATTGATTCCTCATTCTGACAGCATGGCCGTATCGGCCTACGCTTCGGAACTAGCCCGAGCCTCGCTCCAGCGTAGCACTAGCAAGCTCGCACGCACCGCGTTACCGTTTTGCATGTTTCGCGTATAAATGTTCGCTCATGCCTTCGCTCACATTTTGTACTCGTTTGACACCTTAGTGCAATTCTCGCTACTTCGATTCATTGCACCCGTAACAAAGTTACACAATACACACTTCAGAAGTTGCACAACAATGCTATATCAGAGGTTATATGATTACACATTAGCAGGGCAATATTTATAGTGCATGGACAAACAGAAAGTACAACACATACAGCAGTAACGTTGGAGCATGAAATAGCTGCCTTTCTCCTTAATCTAGCCACCACAGATACACCCCCAGCCAAATCAGGTAGAAAGCCTAGCAGCTTCAAGCAACCAAATCAGGTAAACAACAGGGGAAATAAACCAGAATACGCTAGCTCTCCACCATTATAGCGTACGTAACACATGCATGTGTATGCCATACAAAATAAAATACAAACAGCTTCTGAACCACCACAATGGAAACTACAGTTCGCCATCCAGCAGAGACAGACCGATACTGTAAGTAGACCCCAGCCAATCAGGGTCAGACAGACCAGGGGACCACTGCAATCTGAGATGTAACCACACTCTTGCCATCCTTCCACGTCAGACTCCCAAACCTGAAATTGTTGTGCGCGGTTACCACCGTGAACGTTACATTGAATGTCACCGACTCGCCAGGTGCAATTGTGAAGGACTTTGGCGTAACCACTGTGGTAACCCCAGTAGGAGACACCACAGTAGCATTATAAGTTGACACTGCAGTCCCCACACTTGTAACCGTCCTCGTTACTGTCAGACTCCCTGTAAGCCGCCCCACGGAAATCGTCGGCCGGTTGAGGTTGTAAGCAGGAATGGGGTTCAGAACCGCATCAGCAGGAGCCAATCCCTGGGTGAGGGTCAGATTCTGCCCGGCCAAAAAGTTGTAAAAATCCTGTCTGGCCAAATTGTAGGTAAGTCCTGGTGAAAGCACCTTGCTCGCGTCCACGTGTCCAGCCCCCATTTGCCACGGCGTCGCACCAGAGTTATTGTAATTCTTTATCCCTGCGTTCTTGTTATTCCTAACTATAGCTGTCGTCATAATCGCCGACATCACCTGCGACGGCGTCCAATCGGTCTGATTCTGCATTATAAGCGCCGCGATTCCAGCAACCTGAGGTGTAGCCATAGACGTCCCACTCATTAAAACCTTAGTAGCTGTCGACATAGCAGCACCCGGGGTCGTTCCGATAGCGGCACCCCAAAGATTATAACCCGGAGCGATGATATCGGGCTTTAAGATGTCGTTGGTGGGGAAAGAAGGAGGAGGGACGGTGGAGGGGAGGACAAGAGGACCGATGGATGAGAAATAGGCCATGGTTGCTGCGGTGCCAGTGGTGGTTTGAGTGAAACCGTAAGACATTGTGCCTGTTGGGCTGGGAGGTGGCAGAAAGAAAGAGGTCGAGAGGGACCCATGGGAGGAGGAGGAGTTTCAGTGATACACCAAAACAAAGGAAGACGCAAGGGCGTGTCAAAAAGCGGGTAATGGAGATGTAAATATTCAAAACTGGGGATGGGGGGCAAGGAGGTATGCAGGGAGAAGTGCAAAAAGGGAGATGGAGTGAGTATCAAATGCTTGTATTTGTGAAAAGCAGCAGTGTACTGTCAAGAAAATCCAGGCAACAAAACAGCAAATAGCACAGACCACATACCTTGCAGTCAGTAGGTACTCATTCAGAATCGCATCGTTAGGAGGGAAGAGTGTCATTGCAGGGAGGGTGCCGTATCGGGTCACCGACGCATCGTCAGCCGGCATCACACTCACTATAAGCACCGCCAGGCCTTTGCCGCGTGCCACCTCTGCTGCTTTCTCATCGTTGCTCACTCCCCCTCCGTATAAGCACACCACCATGCGCCAAGCCACCCACACTGTGTCGAGCGAGCCATATTTGCAGTACTTGGCCTGTTGTTAAGGATGAAATGGAGAAGGAAAGAGAATGGAGGGTGATGATGAAAGAGGTGAATGTAACCTTATAAATGATTGAAGCACAAGCAGAAAAACAATTATGCAAAATAGCTTAGGTTACGCATGTAGATGCATTTGCTTCGTTGGAGTCAGCAAATGGGTTCTTTGTTGAATACTGTAGAAGCAAAAGGGGGTTTGTTGGATATAATTTCCTGTAGATGCACTAGTCAAGGCGAAAGGAATCTAGGCGAATTGTCACAATCAGACGAAATTGAAATGTACTTTTCTCATTTACTTACCTTAGATGCATCGTAGCCCGCAGCCGGAATTTTAGCTGCGTCGATGAGGGGGGTGTTGGCACCCATATTCAAGCCGCCAAACCCGTTTCCGTAAATCACGGTACCGTTGCCGAGGGTGAGCGACGCGTTGTAGCGACGGCTGATAGAGCTGTGCGCATTGAAGCGGGAATACAGTCATGCGAAGGGGGAACGGAGAGGGATGGGACGGCGGAGGGGGGGAAGTGTGGGGGAAGAGAAGAGGGGACAAAGAGTAACGACGTGGATTTGAGGGCAAAGAGAGTCAAAAAGCGAATTCACAAAGGAAGCACGCAATATGAACAACCTAAATCACCTGAAAATCTCACCTGGGGTCTCACCTGGCGCCAACAGTGAGGAAGAAGGGCGAGAAGTTGGAGATGGAGCGGTAGAGAGAGGGGTGGAAGGGCGGAGGACCGTAGTTGGAGGCTGATTTCACCACCACCACTCCCGCCTGATTAGTGTTTGCAGTAAAACGAAGGAAAAGGGAAAAGGGAATTCGTGAGGAATTTATAGATTTCAATAGAGTACTAAAACATTATAAGGAAGTGAGATTAAAATGCGTACCAAATGTCCATCCAGATAGCCCAGGTCGTCGAAATAAGTGTCCGAAAGATCCGTGCCTCCCAGCGACAGCGAGAGCGACATGGGAAGGCTGTCGAAACTCACCAAATGCGCGTCCAGATAACCCAGGTCGTCGAAATACGTGTCCGACGGGTCCATGCCTCCTAACGACAGCGACAAAACGTCCACCCCGTCCGCGACGGCCGTGTCGACCGCCGCGAGGATATCCGAGTCCGTTATCACGCGGCCGTTGTACTTGGTGCTGTACCACGAGACTTTGTACGCGGCGAGGAAGGCGCGCGGCGCGACGCCGTAGGACGAGCCGAGAGAGACGGAGTTGAGCGAGCCGAAGGAAACGGGGCCGTTGCCAGCTGCGGCTCTGGGAATTGGGGGAAGGGGAGAAGGGGAAGAGAAGGAGCGCCTTAGGATCTTACCACCCCGCACACCAGGTGCCGTGGCCCGCCACGTCGCCAACAATATTAGGGGTTGTAGTAGGTCAGCCCCGCCGCGAGGAACTTCGCGATGAAGTACAAAGTTCAAATCAACCATTCATAACGGTGTGCATGCAAGAAACCTCTCTACGAAACTTACCCCGCACACCACGTGCCGTGGCCTGCCAAGTCACGCGGGGAGAGCCAATCTCTGGGGTCGTAGTAGGTCAGCCCCGCGGCGAGGAACCCCGCGATGAAGTACTGCGCGCCGATGAGCTTCCGCGTGCACTTGGGGAAGTCGGAGGTGGTCTGGCATTTACCCGTCCACGTGGCAGGCGGGTCAGGGTACGGGTTAGTTGCCTGATGAGGGGGAACAGGGGGGGCAGGGGACACGGAGGAGAGGGGCGGGGGGGTGGGGAGGGGGAGGAATTGGCGAGGAACCGGGGGGGGGGGGAAAGAGGGGGTGGGGGGGAGGGGAGGGAATTTGCGAGGAATCTTGTGATGAGGAGGGTCAGAACATGAGCGGGGGAATGTGCAATTTCAGCGAAACTTCTACACACCTGGTCCTGAAACGATGGATGCTCGGGCCAGATTCCCGTATCAACGACTCCGACAACTGTTCCCTCGCCGGCCGCGGTCAACTTGGCGGCCTTATTCGCCTTCCATAGCGTGTTGGGCAGATTGAGGAAATTTGGAGAGTCGAGCACGTCTAACTTGCGGATTTTGCTCTCCTGCACGTATGCTACTTCCGGGTCTGCTTCTAACGCGCGCTTCTGTTCCTTAGAAAGCCGAGCCGCGAGACCGTTGGTCGAATACGCGTAGCTGTAGAGCACGTCCGAGTCGGGAACCCCCGCGCCGCGCGCGACTCGAGCGTGCTGGGCTTTGACTCGACTGACGTGGTCCTTGACACGCTGCGAGTTCCGGTCGATCTTCTGCCGCTGCCCATTCCTCCCGTTCGCTCCGCCGTTACCTCCCCCATTTCTGCCGTTTCCGTTATTCCCGTCCCCTCTAATCTCGGCCGCGACGGAGTTTTCTTTAAGGCGGACGATATAAACGGGGTTGCCCAGCGTCTCGGTGGCGAGAAGGCGGCGGGGCGCCGCGGATGACTGCGAGGCGGCGGGGCGAGCCGCCTGGCCGAGTAGGAGCGAGAGGAGGAGGAGCGGGAGGAGCCGCAGCGCGTGCGCCGCGGTACTCCGCGCGGAGGTTGCATTTTCCGCGCCGCGGGGTAGCGCAGAGGCTGTCATGATAGTCGCGTGCCTGTAACCCCGCTGGTTACCAGCTGGTGCTGCGAGGAAGTCCGCTAACTGGATTCCGAATAAGGCTGGGTATGTCGGAAGGTTTATAATGAGAAAAAAGATATTCTTCAGTGTCGCGCTATCATGCAATGGCGTTCCCGTCTTGACACTACTCAGACTCCTGCTTCTCGTTTCTAATATCGTTTTCAAGAGCTCACAACCACAACCGGCTCATCTTTCGCTGTCAGTGCCTGGGACGATTGGGGGGCCTCCCTGCCACTGGTTTTGCTCGTTCCGTCGCTGCCGGATCTGGACGAGTGACTGGCCGGATGCATGCACACGTGGAAGTACATTCACTATAGCGTATCGGTCGTGCGTGATGGGTGTCTCGCAAAAAAAGCTGGATCTCTGTTGCTGCAAAGCTGTACCGAACGTAAACTTCACACGAGTATTGGCGTTTAGCGAGATTAGTGGAGTTTGGGTGGGCACTGTCTGCAAGGATGGGAGGAACCGCAGAAATACGACAGCGAAGATCCGCGATCAAGGGTTACCTTACTTCGTGGTCTCTATTACTGCACAAAGATGACTCGCGCCACATCTCTCGAAGTCTTTCTGTGGCTCTGCCATGATCAACTTGAATTTCCATTTTCGCCTGAAGTTTCGTACAGATTCGATTGTTTGTTCGCGCTTCCCGCGTGAGCCGGCTGCCGTCGATGTGGCCAGGTGCTCGGAAGTTCAAGCTTTCACCTGGCTCCTGAAGTTGCAGTTTGAAATATCACCTGCGTCTCGTGCTCCATGTAGCATGGCACAAAAGCGTGGCGAACATAGCAGAAAAGGAACAAGCCTTTAAAGGCGGGGTGCAACTTCTTAGGAACAGTAGCAGGACAAACATGGAGTGTGCGTAACGAGACCCTTATTGGATGAAAAAAAGGAATCTCGGAAAAGACAAACTTCTCGCCACAGACTGCCTGCGACAACCATGTTCCAAGCTATAATACTTCGAAGTTGAAGCTGATAGTTGGGCCACGGCTTTAAGTATTGTAAGGCTTGCGACATTTCGCATGCGCAAGATCAGCAGAGGCACCATGTCGCATCTTCGCTCTCATCGCACAGTACCCTCATCCCGTTATTGTCCAACTCTGCTATAAGTAAAGCACACTTGTCGAGCGCTAATGAATTATGAACATTGGATGTTCAAGCAGAAACATATCTAGATTCTGACAAGGCATTTTTCTTAGAGTTTGGCTGACGAAAGCCCAGGCTCTTGCCGTTCCCAGGAACATGAAATATTTCTACAATCCATGGCGTCATGACGGCTGCTGGGACGTTTGCAGCTCATCACCACAGCATCAGACTCTTCAGGACACACCGTTCAGGCACACCGCTCTGCTTGCTGTGTCAAGTGGTTGCCGTCTCGCACCCATCTATCCACGCTCTGCCGCCTCTCCGCTATCCTCCACGCCTCATCACTTCGCAGTATTATTTTACAAGACCAATAATGGACACCCGAACCGCGGCTATGGCCATAGCCGATTGCGCCTATCCGATCCGCTTCCTTCAGCGTACCGTTCCGTTCCTTTCGATACCCAATCCCTCCCGTTCCGCCTATCAAACCTTAGCCAGCAGCCCCACACGACTGACTTGCGCGGCTATCTTCCCCCTCGCAGGGGATCTCTCTCTCGCACCCCATTCTTCCGTCTCCCACGGCCGCCTCGCTCGGCCTTCTCGCACTTCTCCTTCGCACTTCTCTCTCTCCCGCGCGCATGCAGCACCGTCATCCCGCAAAGCATCCGTACGGTGATCCGCCATTTAGCAAGTCTTGTGACACACGACACGAGTCTTGAATCCCTGGTGTCTCACTTTCAGCAATCTTCAGTCAAATCTTGAGTTTGAAATCGTGTTTTTCCAATTGAAGACTTCTCTTCGTGCTCTGTCTCGTACGTTCTGGTGCATGAAATTGCAGCAAAGCCGCTTGTTCGGTTTATCTGATGCTAGCAAGCTTCGGATCGCAATATATCGCGTACGGCAGGGTTGCGGTGGTGAATGTCCGAAGCGCCGACAGCGATCTCGCCGCCGCTGCCAAATCCTAAGTCCTTTCGTCCTACACATCATGCCTCCGATACTGATCGTTCCACTCGACCTACGCTTCACGTCCCGGGGATTGCGGAAAATGTTTCACGTAAGCAGCCTCCCGGACCTCCACCAGCGCAAATCGCGGACGCCGAATTTGCAGCCGCGGAAAGCGACGAAAACGGCGGCGTGTTTTCCGCTTTGGACTACGAATCGCAGTTATTCTCGCATCTGCTCCCGCAGCTCTTCTCTCAACCCGTTCCGCGGCTCCTCCACGCTCCTGATGACGTCAGCAGCTTTCAGAGCACCGGCCAACCGTCTAGAAGCATGGACCGTCCATGCAACGCTGCTGCTGGTAACCCGACGGAGGGTAACCTTTCGGATGAGTATGGGGAATCGCTGGCGGCGGGTTACAGCGAAGATGGTTACCGATTTCGTAGCATTCCGTCGCGTGAAACCATAGAGCTGAGCTTCCAGAATGGTGACGAGTGCGGAAGCCTTTTCGAGTTCGACGCGGGGAACCATGAGTTTGGGCTCGAGTGGAACCATGACGTGGCAGACCATGACGAGGCAGACCGTGACGTGTCAGGGCTCAACGTGGCAGACGTGGCAGACCATGACGTGGCAGACCATGACGTGGCTGGCCATCACGATACAGGCCATGACGTGGCGCATCCCAAGGAGCCAAGTTGTGACGCGAAAGACCACACGGCGATCGACCAAGGGGTGGGGTCAGTTCAAGAAACAGCAGAGGACATTTGGGAGGGGATTGCATCTTGGAACGGAATGGATGGCACAGATTCGCACCACTCAAGTGATCCAGCGGCTGGGATTCAACAGCAGGTTTCCGTGGCTAGCCTGGACGGATCTGATTGTCTCTGGTGCGTCCCTGAATCTCCAAGGGCAAATTTTATGGATACACCCAGGACCTCAGTGGAAGATCGGGGAAAGATGCTGCACGAAATGTCGTTGAAAGGGGATATGAATTGCGCTGGGCGGCGAGATTCAGGACAGGAGAAGAAGGAGGAAGAGAAGAGGGATGAAGGGGAGAGGGAATTGGCGGAAGAACTGATGGGGGAGTTGATGGGCCAGGGAGACGAAACGCTAGTGGATGTAGGGAGGTGTGTGGCGGTGAGCTTATGTGCGTCTATCAGAGGGATGGAGATGGGTGCTGAGGGCAATGGAACAACGGCAAGCCATGATGGCATGGTGGGCGGTCGTGGCATGGGTGCTGATGGTGCAACTGGGAACCATGATAGCATGCATGGCATGGTGATGGTCGACGGTCATGTCATGGGTGCTAGTGATGGTGCCATAGTGACCCAGAATGGCATGTATGATATGGGTGGCATGAGTGGCATAGATGGCATGGATGGCATGGATGGCATGGATGGCATAAATGGCATGGGCATCCATGGCATAGATGCTGCGGACATGCATGGTAAAGGCATGCATGGCATGGGTGCTGGTGCAGTGGTGCCCCTTAGTGACATACATGGCATGGTGATGGGTGGTCAGGGTATGGGTGCTGGTGATGATGCCATGCTGACCCAAAATGGCATGGATGGTATCAGTGCATGTGTGATTGCTCCTGGCCGTAGCTGGTCGTTTGGTAATTCGGAGTGGATGGGTGGTGGTGGTCTGGAAGTGGGCGGCAGTGGTGGTCTGGAAGTGGGCGGCAGTGGTGGTCTGGAAGTGGGCGGCAGTGGTGGTCTGGAAGTGGGCGGCAGTGGTGGTCTGGAAGTGGGCGGCAGTGGTGGTCTGGAAGTGGGCGGCAGTGGTGGTGAGATGGATGCTGATGGTAGGGGTACGAGTGCAAGTAATAAGTTCGGTGATTTGGAGTGGATGGGCGGCAGTGGTCCGGCAGTGGGCGGCAGCAGTGGGCGGCATGGGATGGATGTGTTGCTGATAGAGAAACCAGTGCCACCACATCAACAGCAGCAGCAACAACAACACAACCCTCAATGCTTGCAGCAGCAGCAGCAGCAGCAGCAGCAGCAGCAGCAGCACCATCACTTGCTGCAGCAACAGCAGGAGAAGCAGCTGCAGCAGCTGCAGCAACGTCACTATCATCAGCTTCTGTCGCTGCCACGGCTACCCCTCCCAGCTCCGTATGCTCCTTTTCGACCGCTTCTGCATTCAGCTGGACAAATCATGCAGCAGCAGTACCTGCAGCAGCAGCGGCAACAGCAGCTGCACCCACAGCAGCAACAGGAGGAGGAGAAGGAGGCGGAGGAGAAAGTGGAGGAGGAAGAGGTGAAGCAGACGCAAGAACGAGTGTCCTTGTTGTCCCTCTCACCTGCTCTCACCACGTCACTCTCAGCACCATCACTAGCAAAAATACTTACACCACGCTCACCAATACTGATCGCACCGTCACCACTGCAAGCACTACAGCCACCACCACCACCATCACCATCACCACCACCACCAGTACCATCCCCATCACCACCGCAACCGCCAGCACTTCTGGGGCTACTGCCTTTACCCCCACTCCATCTGTCACCCTCACTCCATCATTCTCCTGCACTCAAGCCGCTTCCCCATTTCAAATCGCCACCAATTCTCCAGCCCCAACCTATTCTTCTGACTTCACTTGCCTCAGCACCAACACTTAGCACAACACCACCACTTAGCCCACCACTACAACTTAGCACAACACCATCACTTAGCCCTCCATCTCCCCTTCGCTTGCCACCAGCTCTTAGCCCACAAATGCCACATGGCACTCCACATAGCACTCTACGTGGCATGTGCCACGTGTCTTCACGTGCTCAGACTTTGCAGCAGGGTCAGCAAGCAAGAGGCATTCGTGGTGCAGGCAGGGGGAGAGCGTGGAGGGAGGGTGGGAGTGCACGGAAGAGAGTGAAAGTGAGTGCGGTAGAGGGAGGAGAGGAGGGAGGAAGAGGAGGAGAGGGAGGAGGAGCAACAAGGGGAGTGGAAGGGGGCAAAAACTATGTGTCTGTTTCGCCTCCTCGTTTGCCCACTTCACACAGCATCCACAACGCTTCTTCAGCCGTTCTTGCTCCTGTGCCTGCAACTGCTGCTACTAATGCTGCCACGGCTGCTCCCACTTCTGCTGCTATCGCTGGTGCTTTCCCTGCTGTCTCTGCTGCCGTTACCAGTGCTGCTGCTGCTTCTACTTCTGCCGTTCTAGCGATAGTACAAGAGGGAGGAGAGGGGCAGGATGGATCACTGAAGGTGGTGGTGAGGTCGCTACTGGGGGAAGTGGGATGGATGCTAGGCTGCCTAGCTGGGCCGACAGACGTAGCTGATCCCCTCACAGAGAAGGCTGCGGCGCCCTTCGAAAGGATGTCTGAGCCTCTCTTTGGGATGCCTGGGGCATCAGCTGTTGCGTCTCTTAGGGAGGCCTCAGCTGAGGTTCATGTGAGGCAGATGTTGCGTGCTTTTGACCCACTGCATGCCGCCCTGACTGTCCCCACAGGGATGGTTGCTCCTTTCACAGACAAGGCTGGGCCCTGTACGGGAATGACCGCAGCAGAGGGCACATCTGAGGTTCATGTGCGGCAGATGCTGCATGCTTTTGACCCACTGCGTGCCGCCCTTGTGGCAGACTGCGCTGGGAACCCTCCTGCAGACTCTGCTGCTCCTGGCGTCTTACCTGCTCCACTTAAGAGTTCTCTCCCGGTTCTCCCTGGGGAGAAATCCCCAGGGTCAACTCTCCTGCAGCCTCTACCCAATCTACTGGGTCTGCCGGGTCTGCCGGGTCTGCCGGGTCTGCTGGGTCTCCCAGATCTGACGGAACTTGCCCCGTTTGCTGCAATCCACTGGTTCAGGTCTCGGCTCAACTGCGTGCTAAGTAAGACACTTAAGGGTAAGTGCCAGTGGCAGGCTAGCGCTTGTACATGGGGGGTGTGCCAGGTCTTGCCCCGTTTGCTACAATTCACTGGTTTGGGTCGAGGCTCAACTGCGTGCTAAGTGAGACACTTACGGGTAAGTGCCAGTGGCAGGCTAGCGCTTGTACATGGGGGGTGTGCCAGGTCTTGCCCCGTTTGCTGCAATTCACTGGTTTGGGTCGAGGCTCAACTGCGTGCTAAGTAAGACACTTAACGGTGAGTGCCAGTGGCAGGCTAGCGCTTGTGGGCGAGCAGGGATGATTTGGGGCTCAGAAACGGAGGAGGGGTTAAGAGATGAAGGGGTAGATGTGGGGGGGGGGGGGTGGCGTCCACTGTGTCTTTGCTTTACCTTAATCGCATCTCGCTCTCCCTTGATTGTCTCTCCTTGCTTCCTCCCCTCTTTGTCTCCGTGTAACAGCAAGAAGTCCCTCGTTCCACGTTACTGCTGAAGCTGCACCTGCAAGCAACCAGCCCAGACAGCCCTTCCTGCCATCGCAGAAGCTTCTGCTCCCTTCCACGCCTCTGCAGCCACCGCCTCTGCTGCTACCGCAGCCAGCGCTGCCAATAACACCTGCTCCAGGTGCACCTACCCTGATGCCACCACGTCCGGGATCCGCTGTGCCTATCTGTCCAGTATCATCTCCATTACTATCACCACTGCTACCATCACCACCACTATTGTCACCAGCGCTACCGTCCCCACCGCTGCCAGCAAATCACATAAGCCCTTCTCACTGCATCAGTGGCAAGAGGGAGAGGAGGAGGAAGGAGGGGAGGGAGCGGCGAGCAGTGAGTGCGAGGGAGCAGCTGGGGTTGTCTGGAGCCAGGGGGGCTCTGCCGCAAGCTGCCGCCCAGAAGATGCTGCAGTGGCTGGTGGCACATTGGGATAACCCGTAAGTTATGTGTTTAAAAATCGTGGATGGGATGTTGGGTATGTGGAAATGACGTGCTGTGATGGGAGGGGATGGGGTGGGTTTGTGTGGGACTGTGTTGTTGGATGCTCCGCTGATCCAGTGGCTCTTTGGAGGGGATGGTTGACGGATGAGGCAGTTGTGGTGGTTGTCATGCTATCTTGCTGCGCTGTTGTGGGCTTTTGTCGCTTGTTCTCCACTTTCCACCATCCCAACCATGGAAACCATCTGATAACATTGTCGTGGGTTTCTGTCGTGTCCTCAGGAAACCATCAAAAGAAGAGAAGATGGAGTTTATGACTGCATTCAACATTACGAAAAAGCAGGTAAGCAAGCTCTTGAAGTTGTTTTGCATATTTTTGTTGTATTGTGCTTTTTAACCGGATCTTGCTTGTCAGGTTGAAGACTGGTTTGTGAATGCTCGAGCACGGCTGTGGAAGCCGCTGGTATGTATATGGTTGTACTAAGCCGTTTCTTGCTTTTCATTCGTCTGAACGTGTTTGATTGCCACGCAGACTGCAAAATTGTGTGCCGAAATCGCGAGAGGTTCTAATGCAAAGAGCTGACTATGCTTGAGAACAACTACTGATGTGACTATTTTTTACATTCCAGTTTATGTATGTGTAGTTTTCCACTAAATGGAGAGGATGTGAAAAATGCTATTGTCTATCACGTCATGGTGGCTATCTGCAACTAAATGCACGATTCGTTATTCAATATCGGAGATCCTGGATTTCGCATGTGTGTGGTTGATATTGCACACCTCCACCAGTCTCCCTCAGGCACAAGTTTCGAAGAAGTGTTGTGTCAGGACGCAGGTGCAGGCACTTGTTCGCTGAAATCGGTGTGCGAAAGCGTTACGAAGTTCGCCGCGCGTTAGAATGGTTGTGGTCGTCTTCGGTGATTGCATTTTATCCACCCACCATCCTTTCCGCAAAAGCACTGAACCACGCGTCTCATGGTGTCACGGTCATCACTTTCAATAGGTTTGCTGACTAGACCCATATTCCTGGGGGAACTTTTGCTTTCCCAGCGTTATTCTGCCACGTCGACTCTGCCTCTCGAACCCCGCGAATCTTGTTTTGGCCTCACACCTCCACATGATCCCCACCTCGAGTTTGGTTGGCCAGATTCGCTGAGCCGTGCGATCAGGTTTACGTTCTGATTGGAGCCGCACACGCAGGGAAATTCTCAAGGGGCAGGCGAAATTCTGGAGCCCATCCCCTCGAACGTTCAATTCGTCGGTCTCATTTGGACCGTTGGATTCTCCATTTGCATCAACCTCGACGGCCGATCGATCGTCCCCTCAGCAATGACAGCCTCGCTTCCCGTTTTTCACGCAGAAAAGACCACTTCGGTAAGGCTGCCCTGTGTCACCTCTTCAAGCGATACCCACCACATCAATCACAGAATACTCATCCGACACTGGCAGCCATTGAAACACTGTATCTGTAACCTTCCATACATTACTGTCAGGCCAATATAGGTCCCAGCAGGCATTTTTGAGCCCCAGCACTTCGAGGCTGCACTAAGCAAGAAGAGGCTTCTTCCACTTCATCACCAGTGCGTTGATTGTCGCAGGATCAAGGTATATTTTTCGTGTCCTAGCTTACCAGCTTGAGGCATTGTTGTGAGGGAGCCTTTCAACATACCGACGACCTTGGCCACCGGTGTCACACATACTATACTGCCGGTCAAAATGGTTTCCGTGGCTCTAGTTCAGGCCGCGGGTATTAAGGACCTGACAGTTGCAGCTCCGAACAACCATGGCTCCATGTCAACAGCCAACACACAGAGCCTTTCTTGGGGAAAGCGGTCCTTTTGGAATACAGGGAAACAGCATAACAGCAGCAGACAAGTCGTCCGTCCTTCAGTAGATCGCGCAGGCTCCTCTCTCTCTCAACCACGAGCTGTTCTTGATGTACCAACCGGCCAAGCCGGAACCTTCCAGGGGTTTCAAAAGAAGCTTGTGATTCCCGGCCAAAGGAAATCGGACTCTGATTATGTGTCCGCAGAGCAAAGAATATTCGACGTTGTAGTGAAGGAGGCTGCAGACACTTACATTTCCAAGCCGGCTGAGAAAGAAGCGCCAATTTTGATGACCCCGGAGCTCTTGGGAGAGGCTTATGAGCGTTGTGGAGAAGTTTGTGCCGAGTACGCCAAGACATTTTATCTTGGTGAGGCTTCCAGCTAGTTCCTTTCTTCTGAACCTTTTGCATGTTGCGTGTTCAATTCGACTGACTCCTGTTCTCTGTGTTTGCGCAGGGACCAAACTCATGACCCCCGAGAGGCGCCGAGCTATCTGGGCCATTTATGGTACGTATTCATGCCCCCCTGTCCACACGCGCACCCGCTTATACGTTAGAAATTGGTTTCACACGCGCACTCGTTATATATCTTCAGTACGTTTGAAGATGTATATTTCGTCCTGCTGTTCAGCGTTCAGCTATTTTTCTTCTTTTTTTCCACATCATCACACCGTGTTTCCTGCTTTGTAGTGGTTCTGTAGACCACAGAAAGTCGTACATGCATTTCGAGTGTTTTATGCATTCGTCAATGGTAGCAGCTTAACGTTGCACTCGTTTCCAGTCAGTGACTGTCCAATATATGTGCTCAACCATCTTGCATTGTGCCTCTCGCTGTTCCAGTTTGGTGCCGGAGAACCGACGAACTAGTGGATGGTCCGAACGCGTCCCACATCACCCCGAGGGCTCTAGACAGATGGGAGGAGCGCCTGGATGAGCTCTTCCAAGGTCGACCGTACGACATGCTGGATGCTGCTCTCTCAGACACCATCCAGACATTCCCTATGAGCATTCAGGTACGAAGAGATGTCTTGCTGGATAAATTTTAACTGCCTCCGCGCGTCGAATTTGAATGCATGCACGAAACCATGTACGCAGCTCCGCAATTCGAACGTTTATTCCCGTATCCCCCATCAATGTCTTTCCAGCCCTACAGGGACATGGTCGATGGCATGCGGATGGACCTGAGGAAGTCCCGTTACCGCACGTTCGACGAGCTCTACGTGTACTGCTACAATGTGGCCGGCACTGTGGGCCTCATGAGCGTTCCTGTCATGGGAATCGACCCCAAGTCTAAAGCGCCTGTAGAAGATGTGTACAAGGCTGCTCTGGACCTTGGAATTGCCAATCAGCTCACAAACATCTTGAGAGATGTTGGAGAAGAGTAAGTGGTGGTCTGACTTACGTCACCTTTTCACCTCCAGCTTCTTTTTCAGCTCCGTGTACCATTTATCTTCGTTTGCAAAGTAGATACTTTCCAAATTCATCGCCAGAATTGCATCAGCATGTAAAACGTTTGCAGTGCTCCTCTTTTAGTACCCCAAGAGTACCAGTCCAGAATCATTGCCTTGAGTCCATGAGTCAGTGCTTCCTGTGCTTCTGCATTACCCATGCTGGATAAATCCTCATTACCCACGTTTGATGTGAAACCTAGCTTTATTAGAGTCCTTGTTCTTCCCACTTTCCCTCTGCAGTGCTCAGCGGGGCCGTGTGTACCTTCCTCAGGACGAGCTGGCCCAGTTTGGCCTCTCTGATGATGACATCTTTGAGGGCAAGGTGACTGACAACTGGCGCAACTTCATGAAGTTCCAGATTGAGAGGGCTCGCAACTACTTCAAGACAGCAGAAGCAGGCGTGGTTGAGCTTGACAGCCAAAGCAGATGGCCGGTAAGCCTATTTCACTTCCCCTTGTCGTGTTCCATCTTCGCCAGAGTTTCACTAATAGACTGACACTAGAGCACCACTTTGGTTTCACTCCTTCGCCAGAGTGACACTATTAGAGCACCACCTTGTTCCGGTTCCTGTGGTACAAGGCTCAAAATTTCATTTGAGAACTTCCTCTTGTACCCTATTTCAGGTCTGGGCCTCCCTGAGGCTCTATGCTCAAATTCTTGATGCCATTGAAGCCAATGACTATGACAACTTCACCAGAAGGGCTTATGTTTCGAAATGGAAGAAGATGATGTCACTCCCTGGCACCTACATTGTTGCTGCAAAAGGCCCCCAGTAGTCTGAACACTATATTCGACTGCAATGAGTAATTATCCATTTTTACTAAATTCCTATCTGTCTGGTTATGCTACTGTTGAACAAATTAGTTGCTATCTTAAATCTTGTAAGAGATTTTTCATGCTGTGAACTTCACAGGTGGGACTAGATGTACACCTCGCCCTCTCTGTTCTGAGCCGTCAGTCATCCCTGCTATTGGCGCGTATGCATTTCAAAGAAGCGTTTGAAATGTCCTTCTGGAAAAGCATGTGAAATCATGCATCTGTGACCGCGTCAACATTCAGCACAAGACTCTCACATGTTCAGCCAATAACGAGCCTCGTTCTAGCAACAACACACCAGCACAGCATGTGGCTGGCAGACGACTCAGCAGCACCAAGGCTAGGGAGACTGCAGAGAAATGTCGAGTCAGCGAAGCGTTCCGGAACGCCAATCAAAGCGTGGCGACTCTGCACACCTGTTTCAGTGCACCCTTCACCAAATCCCCGCTGGCAGTTGCCCCTCTCCAGCACGTGCTCATTGGTTGGAACGTTGAACGCGGGGCATTTATCTTAGCGGTAACACTAATTGGGGTCGATCGCACGCGAGGTAAGCCACGTGTCCGAATCGTAACTAAAGTATCTTCCGATTGTCTCCATGGTAACCAACGTGCCAGTTTGGTCAACATTATTTCCAGAATGGTAATGAACAGTGCATTCCGAAATCCCAACTGGTAACTCGTCAGAACATCCGCGATGTACACCGTACGTACCCTGTATGACTCGGCAAAACTGAAAATGAGATGGATATAGGCTTCGCATTGTAACATATTTGTTATAATTTCACGTTTATAACTTGAACATGTGTAGATGATAGTAAAACAATAAATGCTATTATGTTTGTCAAATTGTTGTCTTGACTAGGGATTACGAAATTAAAATGGATCCTGAATACGGTGTCTACAGAAGTTATGTGCTAGTCTCTTATAAATATAACCAACATATATGCAAATCCAACCTGTTACCTTATGCTGCACTCCCTGCCAATGCAAACCCATCTGCTGCAGCCAACCGCGCTGCTGAACCGCCCGATGTTGGTCTGCCTGCTGCGCCATGCCCTGCTGCGCCATGCCCTGCTGCGCCATGCCCTGCTGCCGCCCTGCATGTAGCTGCTGGGCATGCGGCTGCCCTGCCCGTTGCTGTCCCCCCTGCTGCTGCCCTGCCTGCCACATCCAATATGCCTGCTGCTGCCATGCCTGTTGCTGCCCAGCATGCTGCTGCCCCACCTCCTGCTGCCCTGCTGGCTGCTGTCCTGCCTGCTGACCTGTCTGCTGTCCTGCCTGCTGACCTGTCTGCTGTCCTGCCTGCTGACCTGTCTGCTGTCCTGCCTGTTGCCCTGCCTGCTGCCCTGCCTGCTGCCCTGCCTGTTGCCCTGCCTGCTGCCCTGTCTGCTGCCCTGTCTGTTGCTGCCCCTGCCGCTGCCCACCTATCTGTTGCTGCCGTCTCTGCCGTTGCTTTCCCTGTTTTTGCCGTCTCGGCTGCTCTCCTTCTCCTTGAGTTTCACTTCGCCGGATTCTTTGAGACGGGCCCCCAGACGTACTTCTGTCAATAATTTCTGTTGCAGCTTCTTCCAAGTCTGGCACTTGTTGTTGCAGATTCAGGCGTGACAGCTTGCGCAAACGACTCCGGACAACAGCTGCGATACTTCTTGGGCCCGCTGTATTCATGGTCCCCTGTTGAGTACCCTGTTGCTGCACGCCTTGTTGGTGATCATGGCCCTGCCTGTTCGCCCGCAGCCCAACTGCATCCGCCGATGCTATGGTTTCCCCCCCTGCAACTGGCATTGCTCTAGATACAGCCGATGGCACCCCTGCTCCTTGTGAAGCTGATGTCGACGCTAGGCCCTCTGATGCAGCTGCCTCCTCCCTGTGCTGCTGCTGCTGCTGCTGCCCCTGCTGCTGCTGCTGCTGCTGCTGCTGCTGCTGCTGCTGCCCCTGCTGCTGCTGCTGCCCCTGCTGTTGCTGCTGCTGCTGCTGCTGCTGCCCCTGCTGCTGCTGCTGCTGCTGCTGCTGTCCCCCCTGCTGCTGCTGCTGCTGCTGCTCCCCCTGCTGCTGCTGCTGCTGCTGCTGCTCCTCCCCCTCCTGCTGATGCTGCTGCTGCTGCTGCTGTTGCTGCTGCTCCTCCTGCTGCTGCTGCTGCTGCTGCTGCTGTTGCTGCTGCTCTTCCTCCTCCTGCTGCTGCTGCCCCTGCCCATGCCCGTGCCCCTGCCCTGCTTTCTGCTGCCTTCCCCTTCGCTGCTGCCTCTGCCCCCGCTGCCCCTTCGGTTGCCCCTTCTGCTTCCCCTTCTGCTTCCCCTTCTGCTTCCCCTGCCCGTGCTGCTGCTGCTGCTCCCCCCCTTGCTGTTGACTTCCACTTTGCTGCTGTGGCTGCCGCCTCCCTGCTCCCTCCTCCTCCTGCCAGTCGCTTCCTTCATAATCTGATGTGAGGGAATACTCCGTATCCTCATCGCCCGCAACTCCTTGTTCTACTCTCCAAGCGGCACCCTCTTCCTCATCTCCATTCCGTCGTGCTCGAGCTTCCATCGTACGTACAGCTGAACAACGAATCCCTTCATGATGTAGCTCTCCACACGCGCTGCACTTTGACACGTTTACCTCACCCATCGCAATTGTGCATGTTTGCATATCAACATGAGCCTGTGGTGAGTGCCTCTCTTCCCATGCTGCCCGTTGTGCCGCCCGCAACTCACATGTGCGCACATTATGACCTTTCTTACCACACTTCCCACACTTGCGCATCTTATCACCATCCACCTCACCAGAACTTCTGATACGTGTCTCACGTGGACGCCCTGGCCTCTTTGGGTACGAAGGTGGCTTGGTGGTGTTGTCTCGAAACGCCTCGGTAGGGTCGAGCGGGACAACAGGGGTACTGTATACATTTTTAAGAGCCTCCACTTTGTAGTAGCGGTCCACTACTTGATGAGCCTTCTCCGGTGTGGACCTGTAGACAGCATAAAGGTGTACACATGGGAGGCCGTACTCCCTACACAAAGGCGGGTTGTACAAGGGGACACACGGTAGAAGGGAGGATCATTTGAGAATGTTTCCAAGAAGTACTTTCACATAACATATGTTTGAACAAATGTTTAGTCACTGACGCATGACCTACCTTGGATACCCGCAGCTGCATGTGCTGGCCTCAGGGTGACTAGCGTATGTCGTGACGCGCCGTGTCTCCCGTCCAGTCGTGCGGGTCACCTTGAAGGTCTGCTCCACAACCCGTTCTCCAAACTTCTCTACCGCCGTCTCTCCTGTCTGGTCAGCCGTATACGACATTCCATACTTGGCGTTTTCGCGAATGATGTTCACAATTTTCTGTGGCAGCTGATCGTTAGCCATGGTCTCGAATGCCTCATGCCGCTTGAATGTTGACACCCCCTTCCTCCCAATCACTGCTAACAAAACCTGCGCCGGACTCTTTCTCCTCAAGCCCTTCAACATGGCATGACTGGACTCTACAGGGTTCGAGGTGTAGCAACCATAACGAGCAGCCCCAAATCTGGTGGTGGCCCATTTTCTAGACAGCTCATCTTTTGTCAAGTAGACAACCCCCCCGGGACACTCTTTCTCGATCTTCATTAGGTACTGTGCAAACACCTCTGCAGTCAAGGCACTAGCAGCATGCTCAATCTTGCCATCAAGGGTTGACCGGAACTTAGCATTGAAGTTCCGAACTATGTGAGTGACGCAAAAGGATTCCCTTGCGTTTGGAAAAACCTCACGCGTCGCAGCTGCCCATCCTCTCCCCTGATCATGCATGATAATAAAACCCTCAGTGTTAACTTCTGGCACGGCCTCCAGTAAGAGCTGGAAAATGAAACTGCATGCTTCTTTCGTCTCACCCTCAACCCATGCAATCCCAAGATGCACAAGCTTGTGCTCACAATCAAGAGCACAAAGGTTAAGTGTTTGTCCGCCCCACCTTGTCTTGTTATGACAGCCATCCGCAAACACTATTGGGAAACAGTTCAACAATGCAGTGCGAGCTCCGGGGAACACTAACCCAGCACGAAAAAACTTGTCCCCATCCTTCACCATGGACACTCGCGACGTAGGGTTCAGCTCCTTAAACATGGACAATAGCATCTCAAAATACTCAAATCCCTCGTCCCCCGACAAAACATCTTCCTTTTCAAGCTGAAGAAGTGCACGACGTGCTGTGTTGTATGAACATGAGACGCCATAAACCTCCTTCACCTTATCTCTCAAACCACTAGGACTCATCGTGCCATGCGCGACAAACTCACGGGCGATCTCCTTGACCTCTTCCACATTAATCCGAGCAGGACATACAACATACATATCGGCATGCTCTAAGTGAAGCTCCCTGATCTCAATCTTCCCCTCCCTAGGCCCTCGCGCATAAATACGGAATGGACAGAAACCGTCCGGAGCAGGCACACCCGCAGCGGGCCACGCAACCCCCTTCATACACAGACAGCGCACATCAACACAATCAGCTCTGTTATAGTGAAAGTGAGGTTCGAACCTTTCCTGACGAGCATACTTGCGAATATGCCTACGCGCCTCAGCGACGTTCGCAAACACATGCCCCATTGACAAGTTGAGCTCACCCCGGTTCTGCACCAACACACTGCGGAGAAAATGGAACACGACAGATTAGAAATAGATGGTAAACAAATACATATAATCATGGAAGTACACACAGAGATGGAAGACGATAAACAAACGAGACATGAAAATGTTGCAACCAAAGCTACATAATGCGTAAACGATGCATGCTTTGGCATGGCGCATTTGCGGGCTGCGCCATGCCTTGGCTGCATGGCGCATTTGCGGGCTGCGCCATGCCTTGGCTGCATGGCGCAGCGCCGATTGGGGCGCCATGCCAAGGCATGGCGCATTTGCGGGCTGCGCCATGCCTTGGCTGCATGGCGCAGCGCCGATTGCGGCGCCATGCCTTGGCATGGCGCATTTGCGGGCTGCGCCATGCCTTGGCTGCATGGCGCAGCGCCGATTGGGGCGCCATGCCAAGGCATGGCGCATTTGCGGGCTGCGCCATGCCTTGGCTGCATGGCGCAGCGCCGATTGCGGCGCCATGCCTTGGCATGGCGCATTTGCGGGCTGCGCCATGCCTTGGCTGCATGGCGCAGCGCCGATTGGGGCGCCATGCCAAGGCATGGCGCATTTGCGGGCTGCGCCATGCCTTGGCTGCATGGCGCAGCGCCGATTGGGGCGCCATGCCAAGGCATGGCGCATTTGCGGGCTGCGCCATGCCTTGGCTGCATGGCGCAGCGCCTTTGCGGGCTGCGCCATGCCTTGGCTGCATGGCGCAGCGCCGATTGCGGCGCCATGCCTTGGCATGGCGCATTTGCGGGCTGCGCCATGCCTTGGCTGCATGGCGCAGCGCCGATTGCGGCGCCATGCCAAGGCATGGCGCATTTGCGGGCTGCGCCATGCCTTGGCTGCATGGCGCAGCGCCGATTGCGGCGCCATGCTCGTGTAGGGAACTATAGGCGCACACAACAATGATTACGATGTGAAGACCACGGGTCGGGGACATACCTATATGGGGCGCTGCGCACCATTGTCGACAGATCAGCGTTCACCAGGGTGACTACTAACTTGGTGTTATGATCTGTTGGTGTGATTAGGGTTAGGAGGTAGCGGGACGATTTGGGTAAGGGAATTGGGTTGGGAACTACAGAAATTGGTTGTGTTGTACGTTCAAATCTGAGTCATACAGGGTACGTACGGTGTACATCGCGGATGTTCTGACGAGTTACCAGTTGGGATTTCGGAATGCACTGTTCATTACCATTCTGGAAATAATGTTGACCAAACTGGCACTTTGGCTACCATGGAGGCAATTGGAAGATACTTTAGTTACGATTCGGACACGTGGCTTACCTTGCGTGCGATCGACCCCAATGAGTGTTACCGCTAAGATAAATGCCCGTGAACGCGGCTTTCTTTCCGGGGAGTGCGCAGGGCAGCGGTAGGCGCAAATTGTACTGCGGAAGCACTGTGGAAGAACACAAGCATCTCCTCGCGTCCACTGGAGAGACCCTGCGGAACGGCAGCAAGAACTGGTCACGGACGGACGCACTAGCGCAGCACAGCTGTACCGCGCGACGCGCGTCCATTACCAGGCGACACGAGAACACATGCCAAGACCTGGAGGAGGCGGAGGCTGGGGCGGAAACACGTACAGAGTGTGCCATTGCAGGTGAGGGGGAAAGCCAAGCTGGGCACATTTTTTGTACAAATAGAACAGCGGTGCAGCTAGCAAAAGCAGTTGCAAAACAATCTCGCCAAAACACATCTGCTTCCCGCATTCAAAGCCGCATCTGTTGCGAAAGACGCAGTGACACGCGTCTCTCTTGTTTTTTTGTTTTAAAGAATACCTACAGCCATCGTCAGCCTGAGACTTTGAGGCCACTGAGCCAGGACAGGGAGAAGGCGAGCTCATTCGCAGCATATCACAAATCTGGTCCGAATTTCCGTTTTTTCGCGGCATTTAACATTTCATCGTATCGCACCCAAAGACTTACGAAGGACGGAATAACTCACGCTCTTCGGCATGGTT